ATATTGCTATTGAATTACAATAATGTTGAAGCCCACTTTTGCAACTTTCAGATTAAAATTCAAAAAGTTGATTGTTAAATTTCATAGTAAAGTTAATTGCTTGACTTAATATTTGAGGATCAAGTAAGTTGAGCATCAATTTTTTTTACTTCATATTGTAATCTATAAAAAAATTGGCCAATAAGTGCAACATCATCCCATTTGATATTAATTATAAGTTATTAAAACTATGAAGCATATAATATTATTGATCAATTGTTTTATTAAAAAATAAAAATCTTATTGATTGCAATATAAATTATATCATATTTTCTATACATGGATCAAAACTCCCTCAAAAAAATCTCTAGATAATCCAATATTGAATCTTGTTATTTTAAAAAAGATAAAAATCATAATAATATTGAATCTAAAAAAAGTATATCAATAAATCTAACTTGCAATCTTAGACTTGGATAGCTTTGGAATTGAAGTTCAATCACAAATTGTATTTAATTAATAAATCCTCAAAACTTAGATCTTATGCCATTAAACTTCTTAGATAGTACAATCTTTGGTTCTCTAATAGTAGAAGGATGTTCTATTATAGGAAAAGGGATATGATTTGGTACAAATATTGAAACAACTTCAATTATCTCTACACCTTTGCTTCCTACCATTCTTGTTTCTTCTTGTGGTGGTAAATTGAATTGATATATCACAAGTATTAACTTCCTAAATTGCTCTTGTATTTGTGCAATTGTATTCTTTATTTCAAGAAGCTTTATAATAATACTTAGAGAAAAGAAGATATCTAATATTGTTTAAGATAAATAGAAGAAAGGATTTGAGAACAAAAAAAATATTAAGAAAAATATTAGTTTAGAAGAAGATAATCGACAACTTTTAATGTGCTTATGTCTTACTAAGAAAAATGAATAATCTACTCTTAATCAAGAAAGACAAAGCTTTGATATTATAAGTATACTCTTATCAATTTATCAAGGATAAGAACCTAAAAAAGCAAATAATCAAATGAAAGTTTTTTCAAAGAAGTATTATAAAATAAAAATAAATATATATATATATATATTAAAAAAATAGAATAGATATTTCCAAAAGATAAAAAAAAAAACTAAAGATTCTTGAATCTAGACTAGAGTAAAAAAAAGAGCTGATAAGAGTGAAGAAGGCTTCACTCTTGCCTATATATATATTATTCATTTAAAAGCTATGTAGCAATGTTCTATAGGACCTCCAACATGTGTTAATTTTGTAAGCCACATGTCTTAATTTACAAGGCATGTTTTTTATGTGTATGTTATGTAGTTAGCTTATTCTACAAGCTATCTACTTGAGTGACACGTGGCTAATTTTTTGACCAAGTTTTTAACCTAAGAATCAATTATAAATACATGTAAAGTCAAAATCATATCTATGAAGTTTCTAAAAAGCTATTTAGAGATATTATAAAATTAATCTATTTTTATCTATTTTTATTTAATTCTATCTAATCATATAGATAATTATTAGAGTAAGTATGTATGTCCGTGATAGTATGTCCATGATAATATTTGGCTTTGGACTTTAGTCTTATCTAAAAATAATCTATTATTAATCTTGTGAGATATTATTAGGTAAAATTTATAATAAGAAGATTTAAATATTCTATATATAGATTATAATCTAATTTTAATCAAATCATAAAGATATCATAATCAAATCTTAATCAAATACAAATAAGATTGAATGAATTTAAATAAATTTAATTAAAAATTCTTTTAACTTTTTAATTAATTATCAATTTTATGCTTTGTAAACCTTTAAATTTTTAGTTTAAAAAATCTACAACTTATTTTGAAATATTTGAATTTATCAATTGAATAACAAGTCAAATATTTTGTTTAGAGATTAAACAACTTCCTCTAACCTTAATATTGAGCTTCTATTTCTATTATCTCTATTTTAAAATTTTAAAAAATATATATATATATATATATATATATTATGATTATATATAATTATTTTAATAATAAAAATTAGATAAAAAATAAAAGTAATTAGATTTAATAATATCTTATAGTAAAGTTTTTTAGAAGCTATATAAATAAGGCTTTATCTTTATACATATTTATATGTGATTTATAGATTAGAAACTTGGCCAATAAGTTGGCTACATATTACACATATTGGCAACTTGTGGTATAAATAGGCTATGTGGTGTACATGTAGGAAACTCATCTTGTAAGTTGAACATGTATTGGATGTCTTATAAAATATTGTCGTGATATAACATAACTAATAGGTGAAAGAGTGAAAAAAATATTATATTATAAAATATCTTGATTCAAAATATTGTGATAAATTATCTTAGAAATATAGATAATAGTCAAAAGGTAATAAAATTAAAAATGTAAATGTTGCCTTATTGCAAAGTAAGCTTCTACTTACTTTGTAGGGCAATAAATGAAAAAAAATAAGGTAAATTAGAAAAATATAGAATATAGATATATACACAAGGGAGTTGAAAAATTATTTTAAGAGAATAAGAATTAATATCCAAAAAGGATCAATTTCCAACCAAGATAAAAATCAAATCTTAAGACACAAATCCATGCACCTATAGCGACTTTGAAGTTCTTTTGAAAATCAAAGAGTGGAATTTGAGAGAAGACTTTATATAATTATTTTAAGCATTGATTTTGAATAATTTGAGTTTGTAATGACTTTATAAGAGCTTTGCAAAGTCAGGGTTGTTTTTGGTGAATCTAATTTTATAGAATAAAAAAAGATTCTTATTTAGAAGAATTTTGTGAGTTTGATAATAGATTTGTGAAAGATAATTTATGGATTTGTAATTAAAATTGATTTTGTTATATTCTATAAAATTAAGTATGATCAAATGATTCGATTAAAGGTTATTGAAGTTCAAGTTGGTTGAGGTCTCTAAAATAAGATTCTGATGATTAGTGAGGATTTCTAAGATCTTTAGCAATCTACTAATTAGATTGAAATGAAATTTATATGCATGAATAGTAGACTTGATTTTCAACATATTTGTGAAATTTTAGAGATACTTAATAGTGAAATTAAGAGATTTTGGCTTAGATAGATAAGCATCAAGATTGGAGAAGGAGGTTAGTCAATATCCAAGTAGATTTTAGGATTTATCTTTTATTTAATAAGTTTGATCTTCTTTAAAATATTTGTCCTTATTGCCATCCTATTTTTGAGATGAATGCAAAAGTTGAGTTGAAATCAATGATTTGATTGTTAATTATGGAAGTTTCAAACCGCCATAGGATTTGGTAAGTATTTATTTAAGATTTAGAGTTATTTTAGGATTTAGAATTTTTTTAGGATTTTTCTAAAATTTGATTAGAATTTATCAAGGATTGGTCTAAAATTTGTCTAAAATTTTATTAAAATTCAACTAGGATTTATTTAAGATTTTTTTGTAATTTTTTATGATTTATTTGATAATTTAATTAAATTTGATGAATATTTGATTATATTTGTTAAGCTTTAATTTTAATTTATATATGATTCTATTAAAGTTATTAGGACTTATTGTTGCAATTTTCTTTTACCTTCTACTACCAAGTATTCTGTGCATTCTCAAGCAAAACTTCACTTAATACAACAATGTTGTCATATAACTTTTAGTTAGATAGTATATGGAGGCAAGAATAAAGTCTTCCTCACTCTTGTCAACATCTTTCTTGTCTTTAGTCTTATTTTAAGAATCTCTAATTTTTTTATCTTTAGTAATAGCCATCTTAGTTTAATATTAAACCATCTTTGAGTGATTACACATTGTTTTATAAAGACATAAGAATGTATCAATCCTTTGGTTTCTTATGATTCATGTCCTTGATAAATGTTGGTGTTTCCATCAGCTATTAATTTATTAATTTCCATCTCAATTCAAATAGCAAAGTATTACAAATATTTGAAATCATTCTAATAATTATAAAATCAATAGATTGTAAAAGTTTTATTATCCAAATAATTAAATTCTACAAAAACATATATTCTTAAATTAAATTTAGAAATAATGTGAAAATAAAAAATTATAATTGAAACTTATAAATAATTTATGATAAATATTTTTAAAAGATAATATACAATATTTCTCTAAAAAACAAATTAGTATAAAATCAACAAAATAATTTTCGTACAAAAAAGTATAAATTTACTATTAGAATTTTATGTACAATAGATACTATTTTAAAAGATTATATTTTAATTTATACTATATTACTCTAAATAGATTTTGAAAGATTATATTTCAATATTAATCTAAAAGTTATTTGTAAAGATTCAAATGTTCAAACTTTCTAATAAATTTTACTAAATCTGAATAATTTTTAAGATCCAAAGTATGTCCTTGAATTTTTATTTATTTATTTATCTATTAATACATAAGTTACCTATCAATTTTTTTCTTTTAGCTTACATCTTACTTCGCTTTTCTTAACAAATATTTAAGAAAAGAACATATTAGTATTCATACACAAGTTTCAATAACTTTTAGAAAATAATAGGTATATCTATATAAATATATATATATATATATATATATAAATATATATCAGTAGTATAAAAATACTAAATGAAACTCAATTATAATTTCATTTTCATTGTAACAATTATAGCAATTACAAACTATTAATTTTGTAGCAAAAAAATATGATCAAATAATGAAGCCAATCTTTTATCATTTGCAAAATTTTAAAAACAATAGAGAGAAAAAAATGAAGATATTAATATAAATAATTTTAAAGTGAAAATTTCATAATCAATTTCTTTTATATTCTTAAAGTTATATATATATATATATATATATATATATATATATATTACAATTTTTATTAAAGAAAAAGCAGAAGTATATATTTATACTTGTGCCTTATTTTACCATGCTAATCAGTTTACATTTCAGTATTCAGACCACATTTCAAATTTTTGTGAAATTTACTCAAATTTTGAACTAATCTGCACAACAAACTACTTTCAAATTCATGGAACAAAAAATTCAAATAGATTTTAGATTATCAACCACAATGTATGTATTGAACGACGTATCATCTTGCATTTAATTTTCTGACAAAATTCTTCCGCTATTTGTAGGTTATTATTCAATTTGAGTTGCTTAACGTGGCAAAATGCAGTTAAACAGAAAAGGGACTTCTATGTGGCAAACTAGTTTATGACCGATATCCTGAATGTTCTGTTACTTCTCTGTAGAAATGTTATGTGAGGCCAACTTTCACAAGATCAGCCATCAGACCTTACATGAATCCTGCATGATTCGTCGACATCCTTCCCTTCGCTGCATGATGCTGGTCTCTGATTAACCTGGTATTCAACAAAAACGAAACTGAAACCTTGTCAAGCTTCGAACTCTAATCAAAGTTCAACTATTAACTTCTTAATTCTTTTATACAGAATTGAATCAGACCAGTTTTCCGAGTGCCCCTAGTGCTCACCTTGAAGTTGAGATACATCAAAACTAAGAGTTTGTGATTTATAAGAGAGTTCAAATCATGGCAAATATGCCCCTAAGTAAGAAACATCTTTAAGTAGAAACTGGTGCTTGACAACCCGTTTTTGTAGCATTTGTCCAACCCAATATATGTGAAAAGCATTTCTTTCTTTTCGATAAATTACTTGGATGCTCATTGCTGTTGGTTAAGGAATCGAATCAATGACGAGAAATCATAACCTGTTCCCCCTTTAACGTAGCCCACGATCAAAGGGTAGAAGGACCATCTCCTAGTGTAAGTTGGTCATGCGGTTAATGAAGGGCAAAGATTTAATCTCCCACTGTCAAACCAAACCCAAACTTGTAGTCTTTCTTCCTATGATCAAGCTGCAAACGAAACACATCATGTAAGCAACATATTAATCGGTGTCAGAGCAGTGTAAGCTCCGAAACTCACGTTTTATTTCTTGTCATCAGATGTTTTCATTCAGAAATTCTTAAGGGACTCCAGTCCTTTTCTACGTTCGACATCAGCAAAGGCATAATACGACCTCGGTTACTTCAACATTTTACTCTTTAATTTAGTAGAACTGTGTTACTGTAGAATTCAGTGTTCTATTTTGCACTAGAATAGAATATTTCTATGCACTCCACATTGCTCCGTGCTTGAAGAAAAATCGGGTCCAACTAACCTCCGCAGACAGCACAAGAGTGAGACCAGCTGAAATTTTCTCTTCCAAGTATGCTGCTGTGCATAAATTGGTGTCTATCCTGCCTCTAATTCGATACTGCAAACAAAAAATAAACATCAGTGTGTAACCAAGATCTAGCTGCAGAATGCAAGAATCATGACCACCCATTGTTTACAAAAGTTTTATGATGGAGAAGGTGTCTAGAAAAATTAGTTGGACATTGACTCATCCCAAGAGAATCTATAACTAAGATAAATGGCATTATCACACGATGATTTGAAGTTTGTGAAAACCACGATTTAACTATAGCCTTTGTAGTTCTGGTATGCTTAGAGCTAATATATCAATGTAAAATTGTTAATAAGTAACTAAAAATTATGTTGGACAACCCATGTTCGAATTAGAGGCAGTATCGAATTAGAGGCAGTATACCAGAACTACAAAGGCTATAGTTAAATCTGATGACCCAAATGTAAGCTAAAAGCACTCCTGCATAGTATGGTAGTTGCTTTAGGCTCATTACCTGGTTCAAGAGATGGTCGTAAGCAATACTGGTCACTGCCTCTGTGCTATTCCAGTTATACACGAAGTCCGAAGCCACTAGTACCTGAGATGATCAACTAATTCAGTTTGAAAAGCAGCTGGGTATGTATTATTCCATTCTACAAATGAAGACTTTTGACCTCTGAAGGCTATGATCGTATCGAAGTATTAGTTTGTGCAACTAAATTCCAGGTTGCAATCACAAGGTAACCATCTGCGCAAATGCGGAATTAAAGCATATCTTTATCGTGTGGTTGTTTGGAGGGTCGTGGGTTCAAACATCATACTACTTGTTACAATTCTTCATAATACAATAGAAATTATTTTTTCTACACTCTAATTTATTATCTTAAAATACTTAGTACTTTTCCTCCCTCCTCTTGCTATGTATGTATGTGTGTACACATACACACACACACATAACGTGGCATCAAGTTTGGATTACATCTCTGGGAAATATTAAAATTTAGAGCCGAATCCCTTACACAACAGTAATTGCAAATAAAGCTGTTCGAGGTGTACTGAAATGTCTTTCTCCCGTGACATTTGCGCCGATTTTTGCAAGTCGGAGTGGAGATATTTAAGATTGCACACTAAACCGTTGTAAATCCTTACCAAATTCCAGCTAGACCAGTGACGCGAACACCCAAATGTAAGTTCTTGTCATTCTGATCTGGAAGATATATTTGTACTCACCAAAGTATGCTCGTGGAAATCATACTGAAAGTAAGAAATCACCTTGTCGGACAGTTTCTGAATATATGTACAACATATGTCGCCTTCAGATTTCACTAGAGCTGTGGTAATCTGCATATCATTATTGTGATGTTTAGAAAAGATAACACTCATCACAGTGAGGGTTGTGAGCACTACCTAATCACAGAGAGGTCGATTACCTGCATGATCCCATAATATAACTTGATGTATTTTAACTATTTCAAGACGAGGCATTTTGAACGAAGGACGTTAAGTCAAGATTGTTGTAAAACGAAGGATGGATAAGGTCTAATAATGTCCCAAAGCCCAATTATACAGGATGAGGATACTGCACGTCAATGAAGTTGTCAAGGTGAACAAGAAATGCTTCAACTGAAGTCAAGAGCATGACAAGGAAAGAGAAATATTTTCGAGCGGTCACAGACACAGCTACCTTACCACGGAATCAGTTTGGTAGCGAGCTGCAAGACCCATGCATGATTTCCGTTGATGACCGAACCACATCCACTCTCCTCCAAGTGACAGTTTAGGAGTCACACGCTGCTCCACCACTAGTCGATAGTAGTCAAGCCTTTAGCAATTTGACGTAAACATCAAATGTATACATACTCTTACACAAAGTATGCAAAACAGCGGTATTTGTTGGTGAGTTGTGGCTAATGTAGTAGAGGTTAGTCACTAGAACAAAGATGTACAAGGTGACTCATCAGAGCTTGGTAGATCAAAGAATAGTTTCCTTGAAATAATGAGTGTCGTTGAGTTTGAAGAACAAGCACATCCAGATGATTCAAGCAAAAGGGTAATTCTGAAATCCACTTGTACAATGTAAGCATGATTACGGAGCTCACCTGAGTGTAGTTTACACTATAAAAAGCACTATTTCCCATCGTCAATTGAGCTTGATAATCATTTCCCTGCGGCGATTTTTCAACAGCATGTCAAAGAAAAGTTTGTTAAAGATCTATAAATGACAATTCTTCACAATGCTGTTGAGACTATCGAATTTCACGTGGATTACATCATCGCGTAACAACCTTTCCTCCATATGATTGCGCTCAGTAGTTTGTCAACTTGTGTACATTTAATTTCCCGTTGCTTGTGACATATTAGTTACTGCTTCAAGAAACATCTAGAAGGTTCAGAGATTATAGTGACGCAGCCAAATTGAACTGTATACTTTCTATTTGACACTGAATTGCTACGTCTCAAACGGATGGCCCATCTGTCCTTCGTAACAGTGAAAAAAGCTGGATACCTTATAGTCGAAGTTGAACATACCGACCGAGAAATGAGGCTCATTTGTAAGCTGCAATGCCCATAAGTATTGTTAAAGACGATATGTTAGAGAAGGTCAATTTAACCTTATGCACTTCAGAAGACGCAGATATGATTCAAACTCACCTAGAAAAGATGGGCTTTTCCTGTATCTTACATGACAAAAAGTTCACACCTGAAGCAGTTGCTTTAAAGCCATTGTTCAGGTAAAAGTTCGAACAATTACTTCGGGAAAAATTGAACACAGGACAATTTGACATTTTCAATAAAACGAGAATAACATCTTAAAAGTAATAGATTGGATATTGCAATTCATGAATGACTAATGAATGACAATAATTAATATGCAGAGTTTCAATTTTATGAACATCCCGACATCAATGTATGCTTAAAATCACTGTGGTCTAATTACCTTGAAACCGAATACGGTGCACATAAAACTTCGAAATATTTTATGTCGCAGCGCCTTTGAGCTCTACAACTTCTATCCCGGAATAAAATCACATGTTGGGAAACAAACCTCAGCATTCGCTTTGATAGAAAATCGATTAGTGATATCACACTTCACTCGAGCTGACATACATCCCTTCGACAGAACTCGCCCCATCATAAGGACTACGTCCATCTTGCCCTGTAAATTGGGGAAAAAATAGCTTGAATGCAGCACATCTTCCACATGCTTCACCAAGAAATTTGTTCAAGAATTAATTGTTTTTTTATCGGTTGAATTTAGGGTAATAAACAACTATATTCAACTTCACCAATATGCCAGACAATATTGTTTATAATTCTGACCTTTTGATCAATAAGGTTAGCACCAAGCTCAAAATGAGCTGTTGATTGTTTCAAAGGGTCGGGTGCACAATCGGGAAGGTCTACCGAACCCATAAACAAACTGCATACCGAAGACGTAACTGCTTGGTAAGATGAAAATATGACTGAAGATTTTTCGCGAATCACAACAATGTTGTATGAGAAGGTGCATCATGATAGTTGCAAAACATTAGGACATTATTCTTGAAAATTCTAAGCGACAATGAATATCTTTATCTATTTTGTAGCATCATGTCCCTCCGAGCATTGTGTTTTGAAAATTATGTCTAATTGAATATACTGTTATGAAACTAAGACTGTTATGACATAGAAAGGAAACCTGCGGCAGGATGTCACACCAGATACTGTTGAACTAACCATGACCTCAACGTCAGCTACAGACTATGATTTGAAACAATCACCACCGCATGTTAAATAAACAAAGGTACTCATGTGGATATGTTCTACAGAAAAAACACACAATGAGGCCCTTACCTATTACTTAGTCCAAATTTTCTGTTCATTGATCTGTAAACGTCAAAGCGCAAGCCTTCGAAGAGCCCCGGCTTCAGGGACACTAAATCACAGACACTCACTTCATCACGTAAATTGCATGAATTGCAGCTAAAACTTGGTTCCAACATCAATAATGCACCACAAAATTGCTTCGAATTGTTAATCAACTTCTTGGAACATGAAGCATCGGTACTTTCAAAACTTCTGAAGAGGAATGACTTGCAATGATCATCAAGATGCTCCGCATACAATACAGAAGGTTATAACTGCTTTTTGGAAGTACAGATGATGAGAGCCCAATAACTACCAACAATATTTAGTATTTAGTTCTAAACACAATGACGAACACTTAAAATAGATTCGGAAGGGGTTGGAATCAAACATCACGTTAATCCAATTTTGACATTTGAGGCAAGGTAACTTACTGTACGCTTCGTGATTGATTTCTTCATACTTGACGGGACATGGTAAGTTCGTAGATTCAGGAGCTTTTCCCTCGGAGCCGCACAAATCAACTGTCTGGATCTGTTGAGGAGAGCAATAGCTTACAGCTGACCCCATTACCACTCAACTTTTTAGCAATTCACCCGAACGACGTCGAAGTAATCAATGTTGTCCCTTCACTGAGTTACGGGAAAAATCCGCTAAGTTTGATCAGCAGATTGTGACGACAATAACCTATATTTTTGAAGAATTTTCAACTTTTCGGCTCTAGAGTCTAAGCAACCGGGATAAGAAATATACTCCGCACCCTATACATTAGCAGACTTCCACTCTTTTTTAATTTGGATATAATTAGAAGCTCCTTTTTGACCGCTGAGCTTCGCAATACCAACAGCACACACAACCCACATACAGTAGCCCTCGAGGATTTAATCCAGAGCCACATTGTCCTAACGAGTCAGCTTCAATAGGCCGACCAGATTAATGTAGCAGGGCCCAACACAAGATATAATGCTTTGATTTCCGATAATAGGTGTGAAACATAACTTTAATCAGGATTTACAGTTGTCTACGATGGAGGTAATTTAGACACTAAGACACAATTCGGGGAGCCTCTCTTATTTGCAAACAAACTATTCAAATATGATGAAACTCCAACCTCAAATCATCCCCTCAAAAAGGAATGCCGCAACTAAGCGGGGATAGATAACGCTGAATGATACTAAAACAATGTGACAGAGTTCTGACCCCTGAAAAGGGATAATATTTTAGGGCATCGTTGTGTTGTAGAAGGGAAGCAGGGCATTGTTTCAACGTCAAGGGGCATGGATCACATTTGAACCGCTGCAAACCCTCACCCTCGTCTCTTACTCGCGCGTTCTCAACGCGCTCCAACTCTGCAGTCGACACTCAACCCGCACAGGATTCATAACCAAACAAAATGCCCAAGGTTTGCAATGCAATTCTTGTGGGTAATTTGCTTTGCGAACCCCATTGCCACATATACTTCATGTCCAAGAGCATGTTAAGACACGGCTCTTAACACATGCTTCCAGAAACGATGTATTCACATTTATCTTTAAACAAGGCAATTGCTGGGTCTCATATCCGGTAAACAAAAAATAGGAAAATTAATGTAAAGCGCCATTATTGTAGCTCAGATGGACGTGTTTCTTTGGAAAAAGCGCCCCGATTGGAAACTAGAATCACATGCATGTATCCTCTAAACTTACATGTAAAATTAGAATGCTCATAATCAACACATAAATAAATCGTTAATGAATAGAAAATGAGGGAAAAGTCAATGTACCAAGTGCATAACAAAGAGGCAAGCATAAAAGAAATACGTAATTTTTCTGCATAAGAACACCAAATTAAGAGAATAATCTTCTACTGATAACCTAAGGTCCACTTCAGTACTCAATGCAAATAACCAACAATGACACATTTTCTATTCAATGAAATGTCAGTTCTGTTGGCCAAAATGTCATGTTCATGGGTCTTCATAGGACTTCATGCTCCATAAAACTCAAAAGGTTCAAAAGTGAGATACCTTTTATAGCTGGAAGTACTTAGCAGTTGACAATCATTTCAATCTTGTCAAATTCCAGGAGTGCAATCTTCGAACAATCTACGCACAACAAAACCAAATTATGAAGTTCACAATGAATGTTGCAGTACCTGTTTGTAAAGTGAGTGCACACCTGTCTTCAACTTAGGGAGCTACAAACTCGGAGGTTGGTCCACCACATAACCTCACAACAAATAACAAACGATGATTGACAGTGTCAAACTCCAGTGCAGGACGCTTGGCAGACTATTGTGTCTGACCTTTGTGTGGTGTACAACTTTCAATGCACCACAAATCTGCTAAGAAATAGGCAGTGTTTTGTCTTTAGAGCTTTAACAACTTAAAATCAGAATCCAACCTCGTAACAACGTCGAAGCTCTTGGTTTCATGGATGCAGCAGAGAAACTGACCAGAGAATTTCAACTGTTCTGAGGTTTCCTGACACATTGCATGAGAATGAGTCAGTAACCACGCAAATCATCCTGCAACAAGCACCGCATGTTCAACTCACAGCAGCTAAACTTGCTGAAACTGAGTTCATTGACTTATGAAGGAGGAGCTCAACGCTTTCTACAACTAATGGACTGGACCAAGCCTCGCAATAATGATTACACCAAAACGAAAGCGAGGCATGCTGTTAATCACACCAGGAGCATAACATCCAGTAGCCTCAATAAGAACTAGTACCACTGATATCTCAGTGGCTGCTAGACACTGCTTAAGACCACTCACAAAAAAGAGAGTTTAAACAAAGTAAATTACACTGAGAGGAAGGAAGATCAATCCCTACAGCGTACCCTTCCCTGATGGGATGCTGGACATAATAGAGTCTAACTTCGGAAAGTAAGACCGATCTCTATACCCTTGTACATTTGGTACTCTAAAAAAATCTAAATCTAAAATCAGAGTCACCTCTCCAATACTGAAACATGGATCATACTAACTCATACGAAACGCGCTCAACATCAATGACATTTTACCTCCTCTTCAGCTTGCCCAGAGAATTGAAGTTAGGAAATCAATCATGTAAAACTTTCAAAAAATAGGATAATGTCTGGTCAAGAGAACCATCCAAAAATCTTTAAAATCGCTGTTTCTCATTTACGTATGCCATGTTCAAGAATTGATTGCTTCAAATACAGGTAAAAAGCACCTGGAACTCCGAAGTGGTACGTTTAAGAATTCAAAGAAATAGGAAAGTTTAATTGAGCCTGGGTTCTACCCGTGCCACTGATGGGATGTTCACGTGGACGGATTAGAAAATTGTGGTTTTCTTGATCTAGATGCAAATTTATCATGTTTGCATGGTCGGATCACTTGTAAGGTTACACGCTTTTCGTTATCAGTTATCTCAATCGATGCAGATTTACTGCGATTGCGAGATAAGTTACTCACGAGCTGCAATGCTAGTGACCTTACACGCCCAAAGGAGAACCGACGTATAAATACAGGAAAGCAGACTTTACAGATAAAGTTGATGCACGAGTTTGAAGAATAGAAGGGTCGAAAAGGTTATAAGGAACCGCAATCTTAGCTGCTGCGAACCTTTAAATAGGATAGCCAAGGAGCAATTCACGGGGTTTTCGATTGTTGTGGCTAGTCTTCTACACAGCCTTGCATGGCAGCCTTGACAGGCTGGTGTTAACTTTATAAGCAGACAAACAACATGCATGTTCGGTGTTATGCTCCCAGCTTTCATTCTCAACATGAATAGTCTCAGCTCTCCTCATGTGTTTGGTTCGTTAAAACGTCTACGTTCCCGATAAGTTATCTGTGAGCGTACGTATTTGGTCGGTAAGTGGACTACAGAGTCATTCTTGCTAATCCACAGATGTCAAATTAAGAGTATAGAATGACCACTTTGACTTCTTAACAGCAAAATACACATCTTTTAACGACGATTTCGACTAGAAACATTGAGAAAAGCTCACTTTAGAAGGGTAACAACTAGTTGAAGAGACTGAGACCTGACAAGTTCCTGACAAGACCTGAACTAATACGTTCCATGTAAAATAACTCACCTGTTAAAGAGACTGGTTAATCGGAGTGATCCATAATGATCTTGTCCGATGCCTGAGTAATCCGGTTATCTCAGCCAACTTGAAGCCATTTATTTGAAGGTCAAAATCTACCATAGTGCACAGAAAGCAACATATCACAAACACTGTTGTGATACTTTCAACTCCCACCTTCTTTTGCCTGTCAACAACCTTGCAAAGCATGACAATTCTTACGATGAGCTGAGAGTCTACCTTGAACACTGGTTAGTTCTAAAAAAAGGTGCTGATAGTTTGCACAGTTTACACCAAGAGAAGAGAAAAAACTCAGCTGGTATTGTAAGACCGGAACGTGAGAACAGTCAAACATAAATTCAGATTTCTAGAACACGCTATATCATTAAGTTTAGAGCTAGATGGTATACTACCTAGGTTTAATAACCTTACCAAGTTCAGTGCAGCACTGATAACCGCAAAAAAGAGTTGGAAAATAATACCAGTTCATAAATTGCTTCCAAGGGGAAGAAGTCCAGAATATTTAATCATTCGAAGAACGATTTACATGGACAGTATGCAGTCAGGATTTATTCGAAACACACATATATATATACGCATCATTTAAACTTAGGGTCAATGAGAGCCAGGACTCCGATGTCTGCTAACATGGATGCAGACATTGTGTTGCAAGAGCCGACTGATGTTTTAAGATTGGAACATGTAATATGAAGCAACTCGCGTTTTTATATTATCAGATGCAGTCGCAATCCTTGCAAGGCTCTTTTTAGTGGTTAAATTGAGTTTGTCTATTCCAGTAGTATCAAAGAACTATAACTTACTTAGAATTACATGTCAACATTTCTGCGGATGATTTACAAGTGACACAGGGTTCCAAAGTTAGCCAATTAATTATGCCAGGTGACCGCAGACATGAAGCAATATTGATGCCTGACGGAATACAGTACATAGCTAGTTACAAGAGCTTTCTTTGATAGGCTTGATTGATTGATTCCATCTACGATATTCAATATGAGGTCTAATAAAAGAAGATCCCAAATTTACACTTTCGATTTGGTAGCGAAATTTGGCGTGCTCATGTGATAAATTCATGAATCCAACACGGGATCTATAGAGACCATCTACATACACTGTGAGTGACAGTTTCGAGTTCGTATCAATACATGTATTGACCACTCAACTCATGTAGGCTTCATTCCAGTGACTGAATTCGGTTACACCCTTGAAACAGTTTCATATCCTTGAACTATGCGCATCATGATCTTACAAGAACCGACCTCCAGTGTGCTCACTAGCTTCATGCTTAGCAGAAATAACTTTGCCAACACAGTCATCAAATGCACAAATAACTATGCCTTGATCATTCATGACAGACGAAAGACAAAAGTGATGTTTCGTAATAACACCTTCAGTGAACAATAAAGTTGTCTTTCATACACCGCATTACTGAGTCGAAAAATGCTGTTTACCAGTCTCGAGCGAGCTCCAATTGATGAATTCGTCCAGTTTGATGAGGTCAAAATCATTTACTTCAATGATTGAGAGAAAATGAGCATGAAATCATGAGTATTTAATCCAGAAGTCAAGTTCACAAGCTCACGATCACCACAAGATTATTTCAAACTGTTGATTCACATTGAATCTATGAAACGAAAGTGACTCCTGTCATCAACACAGGGAAAAGAAGATAAGCTAACAACGTATTACGTACCCCACTTGGCACTGATCTGCATTTCAGAACAGAAGAATCCTCTTTGGAATCGAACAGGACATTTAAAGAAGAAACCAGGACACAAGAATTCGATTTCTCGGAGAGATTTGAAAAAAAAGAACTCAAAGACGCTCAGTACTTCAAATAGTATGGTTTGAATTTCAATCAGCCAAATCTTTTACAAATCTGAAAGGTATTCAATGGAAATCGTATCTACGTGCACTGGAAAAGCATGGACTCTATCTGACCGAATTCACACCTACCACTTGCTTAGGAACAAGAGCACATCTCTGAAATGAACTGGTTGAAGTTGTGCACGAGTAAACTCCGTGTGTGCAAGCCTGGCATTCTATACCACACTCGATGCAAGGTTAATACTTATTAGAATAATATTAGATGGCCTGCATGTGTACAATCAACGGACTTGGCTGCAATTTCAAACAATGCACTCACTGCAAGCTTGAAGTGATATCCCGAGAGAAAACTATTGACAACAGTAAACTAAAATCATGGCAACTTTTTTAAAAACATCGCAACTGTTAGAAGAATCGATAGCTACTGCAAATCGTACTAAAACCGCAGAAATAAGTGGAGGTAGTCTTCAAATCCTGCCTATGTCTCCACGTTCTCTTAGTAAAAACCTCCGAAGGTTTACCAGTTTGCAGATCAAACAGGTGAAAAGACACTCGTAATGAACCTTGTATGAGATGTGATCGGTTGCAAACAAAGCGAAAAGTACGGTTACAGGGAGTAGCGAACTATTTATGTATGCTTCGACACACTTGCGGTCTCTAATATTAATACCGGTTCTGTAAACAATTCTTAAATTCAGCTTACAGTCGCAACTTCATGTTCTGCGCAAAACACACACTCCTTCCTGTGAGCTTCCTAGAGGTCGAGCAAGTTGATAAGGGGAGATTATCCCTTGCTAGGTTGTAGCATAGAATCTTCTATGTTGCAGGTGAACGTTCCAGACGCTTGTTGTATAAAGGCATTCTTGTAGCTTCACATCCTCACAAACGGTTCATTCGACTCACTGAGATCATAGTGACGAAATCCGTAGTTACCCGAACTTCAGAGTTTGATGGGAACTGCACAGAGGAATTATACTTGATTTTTCAAATCAGGTTTGCATAAGTTTTCGTAAACTGAAAGGATGGCTAAGGAGGAATGTTCTTCTGCAAGCAGTTAAATGAATATCCGCGTCTCCTCTCATGACAATACTCCAAGGGAAGTGACCTACAATATGTGAGATCGGTTTCTTTCTTACTGATGTTGGACAGAACAAATCCACACCAGAATCCACGGCACGCCAAGTCACTCCAAAGTTCACTGAATATCTGTTTCACTAGACATCTGTTTCCCTTCAGATCCACTAACAAGAGAACGACGATGTCCAAACGCTTTCGGTTATGATTATTGTAAGAATGGCACACATCAAAGAAGCAGCATTATACAACAAGCAACTACAAATCTTTCACAGGATGCGCAATCTCTAATGAAGACATGTATCTTGACCAAGTCAGGAACATGGCAAAACGGAGGCGAATAGTGAACAAAAAGCTGGCTACGAGCATAAAATCTGTTCGTAACCAATATTGGCTACATGCAAACACTTGCAACAGATCGGAACATGAATTGTAGAATACGGTGCCTTACTACGAAGCAACATGCTTTCCTTGAAAGTATATAAGAACGTATAAACTTGAGGGGCCTCTCAAGTGCCGAAGGTCGGTAATTTTTTCACTCGACGACATAGTGTCTCCTGCTCTCAACTCACACTACATACTTCATCAACTGCGAAGTCACAGCACCTGTTCAGCCACAAGTACAACATGGATAAGCTCTAGTGCAGTGAGGAACGAACTTGCAATCCAATCGTTGTGCGGGACTTTATGGCACATGAACAGATTCCATGTGCATCCCATCTCAAGTTCAAGAAATGCCGACAGACCAATCTCAAGCGTGTGAATCGTATTCTCAAAGAAAGGATGTAATAAAACGAGAAGGTATTCCTCTGTTGCACTGCGTGTGGACAATGTCACCAATGCACAAGTTGACCTCCGGCTCTTGGAGCACAGAATCTATGAAGCGGGAGTGAGGCACGGAACATTGATCTTGGGCGATGAATTTCCTGCACACTGACGTTAGCCCAAGAAGGAAGCATGCATCCAACGGGAGCACATCACACTGACCATTTGCTGCGCCTTGTGCTTCAGGCAGTCGCACGCACGTTCTGGGACAACAATTACGCATGATGTGCCGGCGCTGTATTGCCGTCGTATCCCTTTGGCTTGATACTTGCCAGAAGCACTGCAAGCCAATTCATCGTCACAAGGGCACTCTACCTTCGTCACATGCATCGTCAGAATCGACGCCACTCACACACTCACCTCACGCTGGCTTTCTCTGTTTTTTCCAACTCTCCGAGCGTCAAAGGAGAGGTGCGACAGGAAGAGAGTGAGCACACATGGGCAAGTACTTCCTCATGTACATGCTCAGCTGTGCTCACTCTCTTCTGTCACTCCCACATCCTCCACCGCCACTCTACGTGCTGACGCACCCCCACCTCAACCTACCATACCAACTCACAATCATGGTGGCCAAGGGACCTCAAACCCCGCCCCCGCCCAACCCCGACCCTTGCCTTCACCCCGCGACTACTACGCTGTCATGAGACAGTCCGCCTTTCTTTCTCTTCGAACCCCGCCACTGACCTCCCGCCATCATTCACCTGGCCATGCTGCTGCTGATGCCGCTCCTCCCCCCGGGCCAGACCGTAGACGGCCAACATACAGCAATTCCGCAGATGTGCACGATCCCAGACAAAGGTAGCCCAAAACGCACAAAGGCAGGCTCGACTCACATACGCTGGAAAAAGAGTATCATCGCCACGCACTTATACCCTCTCATTCTACTCGGAGCTGACGGCCCTAAAGATAGATAGCAAGGGCATTCATCCGCCAACACTCGAGCCAGCCTTCTTTTCCCCCCTCGGCGGCAGAGCAGCAGACGCGTGCTTTCCCCTTCGGCCTATTGCCCGACCCTGGCGCAGTAATATTAAGGCCCTGTATTGTAGCACTGGGAACTCCACTTTCCCTCTCTCCCTCCCTCCCCTCCCTCCTTCCTGCCTGCCTGCCTGCCTGGCACCTCCCCCCATTTCCACTTCTGCCAGCTACATATCCCACCCAATATATTCATTTATATTATATATATATATATATATATATATATGCCCTGAATTCCAATAATTATTATTATCATTCTTCGTATATTTGTGTGTACAAGATAAAAAGTCTATTCTGTGACATCTACGTGTTTTCCTCATCAATATCAGTTTCACAACACTGCTAAAAATTCGGAGGAAATGTTTTCTGAAATTTACTTAACTATAGCTATTCTGGAAATTTAGTTATGCTGATGTTATTATGTTAGCAGCTTCTTGTGCATATTATGCATATTCACTTTTTAGGAAACTGAATTGTATTACTGGAATGGGCAACCATGTGGAGGGGACATCATGAGTTCTAATTGTTGGCTTACCTATCCTAATGGGTTCTATTTAGTTCAGTGTTGCTTATTATTTTTTTGCATGTGACAAACTATTCTGGCAAAATGTAATATAAAGTGAAATGTATATTCACTATTTACATATGCATATTTACTTGAAATTGCAATTGATATTTATACAAGATAAGAAATATTTTGCATCACTTTTGAGTAGCAAAGGGGAGTACAAGTAAAGTGCTATCAAGTATTGTTAAAATTGGATGATTTCTACAATCTAGAAACATCATTGTTTCAAATTGTTTAATACATGTGCATCATTTTTTATGAAAAATCAAGTATTTCTTTCATCAAAGTCACTAAGATTTTGAAGGATTTTACAACCTCATAAACAATTTTACCACATTAACTTATCTACACAAAATACAAAAAATATTGAAGAGCAAATGCACACTCAACACCAATATGGAGTAAGAATAGACTCAAATGTGTGAAAACATGGATGATTTTCTTGATCTTTCATACATCATCCATCCAAAGGCTAGTGTAGAAATGGAAGAATGTGAAGACTCAAGGACAATGGAGCTTGGATAGGATGTGAAGCACTACAATCTATTCACTATGCTATACATATTTTCATATAGAACAAAAAAAAACAAAAAAAACAACATTGATATATATATATATATATATATCCAAGAATGATAAAGCAACCCATATTAAAGCTTCTCATTCTTACAAAATCATCATTACATTTTGTATGCCTTGTCTTGATTCCTACCATGCCTTGTCTTGATTCCTACCATATCTTGTATCCGTAACTAATTCCTTATTCTTCAATCAATCCTCTCTGACCCTATTTACAACCTTCTTTCATACACAATTAAGTTTTTCCACCCAAGCTAAAAGTTGAATCTTAGAGCTCTAAGCTATGTATTACTTGCCTTGCTCTTCAATGTCACACATCTCAACAACACGGATCCAATCATATTTTCAACAAGCTTGAAAACTGGATATAGGAATATATCTTAGACAAGTTGTACTCAACTATAATCAAGACTTTATTGACGACTACTTAAAATATGGAGCTGATATAAACACATTGCTATTATTAATGGCAACATGGATATGATGAGTTTTTTAGTACCCCAAAGGACAAACCTTTATATTAAGCTTGGTGATAAGACTACCCTTATATCATCTTATCAAAAAAGCTTGGAGATAAGTATATTGATGGTTTTGTAAGGATGGATTTTTTTACTAAAAAAATTAACTTTTTTATTATTTTCATGTATATATATATATATATATATATATATAATTGGCGCTCTGATTTCTTTGATTTTGGCCAAATTATACAAAAATTCTCTTGTTGCTTCAAGACAAGGAAGCCAAATTCGGTTCTAGAACTCACAAGTTGAAGTTACCTCCTCCTATCAAATACATCATCTTCTTCTTCTAGGTGTCGCTAGCTCTACTCCATAAGCCTCCCTCTTCACCATCTTTTTTCTTCTACACATTGCATCTCCATCTACTATCATCTTCGCTGCTCTAAAAAATACTCTCTATGCCTCAATAGGTGCTTTCAAATCCCACCTCCTTCTACAATTCACACTTTATGTAATCACAACTGCATCTTTTTTGGCAAAGTAGACCAATTCTAACATATCATATACTACACCATTAAAAGAAATTTTCTATCCAACATTCTTTAGTGTTTCTTAAAGACAAACTTGATTAATAAGTTTCTGCATCAATCTTCTCTGTTTAAAAATTATATCTTCAAAGTATTTGTGACTTCATCCATTGACAAAAAATTCTCCTCACTAAATAAAAGCCTTAACTTTGAAAGTTACAATCATATCATTTCTATTGTGATTAAATTTCTTTTGCATACGTACATATATGCATATATATATATATATATATATATTATTAAATTTATCTAAGTATTTATTAAATTGATCCACTCATTCTAACCATTATCAAAATATTTTCTACAATTAGATCTATACTAGTCAAAATCAATGAAAAATTGATTGGATCTTCAACCAATGATGATGGATAGATTAATTTAGTACATATCTAGATCAATTTAATAATTATATATATATGTATATATAGAAAATTTACAAGAATAAAAAAATATGACATTTTGTACAATAAAATTTATTACTTGAAGAGAATAATTAAAGGTGGATAGTCTTATGAAATGTAATATGTTACTAATGAATACATACGTGCAAAATAACAAAATGAAATTGATGTTGATAGATGTAGCACTAGTGTTAAGATTAAAATGTAATAATAATAATTATAATAATATATATATTTTTCATATTATTTTTATTCTTCAGAGAAAAAAAGTTATATATTTGAAAATAATAATAATAATAATAATAATATCATCATCATCATCATCAGATATAACAGCTTATAGAATATGTGTTTGTCATGATTATTTTTTTATAAGACAAATGAAGCTATTATGGTATTTTACAAACTTTTTATTCCATAAAAAAAGTATGTTAATTTAAATATTTTAGACCAATAAATTAAGTAGGACTAATCATCAATTTCTTTCTTAGAAATAATTCATAAAAGAATCTTAATACAAGGACATTTTATCAAAACAATGTCTATTAGATGATAAATCATATAAAAGAAAAAAAATCAATAAAAAGGGTATATATAAATATATATATATATATATATATATGCATACACTTTGCATATTAAAAGACATTGGTGCATATCTTTTTTTATACATATAATTATTTATGAGTTCATTCAAAAATATTATGCATATTTTGCATCATTTAAGTGTTTCAATAATAAGAAAAGTAGAAAGACACTCAATAAGTAAGTTTGATGCTCATAGCCACATTCTATGAGCTTTGACTATTTTTTGTGTTATCTAGAGCTGCATTCTATGAGCTTTAATTATATTAAGGGGATTTAAACTTAAGGTTTATGGATGATATTTCACTTGTGATGATATCTCAAAGAATTATATAATATTTTGAAATATCACTTGATACTTCCAAATCACCCACCTTACAAAGTAGATGATTTTAAAATCCAAATATCAAAAGAGGGACCGGTGAAATATCAAAAACTTCCTTAATTGCCTTAATTATCTTTTCTTTGCCTTAAGTGCCTTGACTTTTTTAAATTACCAAAATATCAAGTGATACTTCAAAAACTTGAATGGGGTAATGAAGTTTGAACAGTGATATTTTGAGTGATCTGTAATATTTGGATTTCTAAAAACCAAAAACATGTGATATTTGGTTATCCAAAAACACTAAGTCTAAATCCCCTTACTGTGTGTTGTCCACTTTGCAAAAGACATGTGCCATTGTTTTATTTTAGTTGTATTGTTATGATGTTACTTTATAATAAAAAAAATAAAATAAAATAAAATAAACTTTTATAGCAATTGATTTTCACTTCTCCAACAACATTTAGGACCACATTCTTTTGACATGTACTTCCAAAGCAATATAAGGAATCTTAATGCTAATATATACATATAAATAAGAAACTTTGAATTTTTGTATGGCTCAAATTTCAGAAGAGAATGTATGTATCTTCGAAAGAATTTTAAATCCAAAAAATACATGTTAAAAAGTCAAATTTAAAGTAAATATTGTTCAATTTTTAAGTTCATCACCAAATGATATTGTAGGTTTTTAAACTTAGAGAATGATCATATGTACATTGTACAGTGAAAAGAAGTTCTTATTACTTAATTGATTAAGAAAAATAAACAATAGAATAAAATGTTATTTAGTAAAGTACTGTAGGTACTTAATTAAAAACTCTTATTGGTTTCATATGCTGGAAATTGAACTGACACAGGTTTTTCACCATTGAAAAGCTCATGGGTGGCTTTGGGGTTGTTGCACCAACAACAATGGCAAACTTGGGTCTCTACAATTTGCCAACTAAATCCACGTGTACGAAAGGTGCATGGACTTTTCCAACCGATTGAAGCGCAATTCTCAAGGTCTGTCAACTTGGAGAGTTTGGCGAGGACTGCACTTTCAATGAAGCAATCAGTAGAGCCCAGGAATAGCATCCCACGGCAGAATTTAGCTTCTTGACAACCCCCCTCCAGATCCTGCTTACCACGCACTAGACTCTCTTGCTCCATTCTAATTGCATCACCCACCGTCCCACAGTCCCCTTGTAGTTTGGTATTTGAAGAGCCCAAACTTAGACTTTGGGACTCGCTCCAACTACCCTACACTTCTGGTTCACTGCTCTCTTCCCACCCTCGTGATGGCCACCGGCTGCGCTCCACAACTAGCCAACTAACCAACAAACCCACATTCAATCAAAGCAGCTTAAAGGAAAACAAACAAAGTAACAAACAAAGAAACAAACAAACTGCTATTGTCGTGGCATCAAACTGAGCCTTCTACTAGTAACCTTGTCAAAGTATCATTCGAAGAAGAAGAAAGAGGAGTAGGAATGATATGAGAAGGGGAGAAGTAAATACACTGAGTAGAAATCAGGATGGGGCGTGTATGAATACCAGACAATACACGAATCAGTCTGCATCCAACTAGGTATGAATCCAGGTTTAATGCACTGGCTTGCCGAATCTCTTGGATAGCTCTAACGGTATCTGACACCCGTAAGGTTCACATACTGTATGGATAGAAAGCACACGTATAGGAAGATTTTTCGGAGTATAAAAAGGACGTCCAATGCCTGACATAACCAGGCTCCTGGGTTTGAAATAAGAGATGTGGAGTATCGATAAAATATAAAAAGGACGTCGAATGCCTGACATAACCAGGCTCCTGGGTTTGAAATAAGAGATGTGGAGTATCGATAAAAACAAAGCAAGTGCCAAGAAATTGCGTACCACCCTCACTTCGCCACGAGTTGTCTTGTTTTCAGGAAGTAGTGACAGAGTAATTCTGGACGCACCAACTTTGGAAATACGCTGGTGGGAGGAAAAGAGTCACTTCGAAACCATTCGCTCTGCGATACCTCAACCTCATCTCATTTACAATAGGATAATCGTGCTTGTATGACGGTTATAGGCTTTTGTAATAAGTAGAAAGAGCTATAGTACAAAATACCCAGCCACCGAAGCTCCCAAAGCTCTCAAAGCTCGGGCTTTCCAACAAAAGGTCGCAACGTGAGCAGCCTGCCAGGAGGAAATTGATGAAAGTGAGCAGACAGGTGCCGGCATTAAGTCCCTCAGTCGAGACATTCTAGCCGACAAGTCAAAGAATGTAGGTGTGCAAGTATCCAATTCAAACGAATTTGGCTGCCCTCTCAAATTAGGATTCTGTTAAGATTTCAATTACTGCAATTCCACTTTATATCTGATTTCCAGAACCATTGATATTACCCTGGCAGTCCTCTGCATAGTTCTGGATCTAGGCCCGAGAGGAATTGCAGTCCACTGCCTTCGAGGAGACAAAGCTTTAGTGCGCCACGTGGATCCCATCATGACTAAAAATTCATGCACTGATTCGCGAAATTTTAGAATGCGTTTCGAGCAATGATCGGAGGGAACCACTACGCTATTTATACGGTGCCGAGTTGAAATCGAAGTTTAACGAGTTCATGGGCAAGCAAAATCTGCGCGTGAGAGTCGACACGAAAAACTCGAACGAAGATGACTAATTACGACCAGGTGCGGAGGACAAATTCTCAACTGCAATGTGAGACGAACAATGGAGAAGCGAATGGGCTCGAACCCATGGTGAACAAAATTATGCCATCCCACATTCTTCTGTGTTAGATAGATGCTCACCGTAAGGCTGTTGCCAGGCATCCAATGGAGCTCATCTCATCCCATCCCATCCCGGAAGTTGATGGGTTTAGAAAATTGCTTTTCTCGTCTCCTCCCGCTCACCACGAGCACTTCCAAATTCTAACCTGCGAGCCATCGCTTCGCTACCAATCTAAACCGAGAAGCAGAGCCCCCAGGCCACAACGAAGTGCCTCCTCCCAAACTAGGGTTTCCAGAAGAAAGGAAGGCTGTGGTGTGGTGGAGGTGATGCTGCTGCACTAATCTAGCCCCAATCCAACACTAAATACTAAATCGTGTGTTTTTATAATACCAAATCGTGTGTTTTTTTAATACCAAATCGTGAGTTTTTAAAAAAAGTATGTTAAAAACAAAAAGACTGCAGAAACATGACACACTATTATGTTGCCCACATTTATGTAATCTATCAACTTCAGACTTTCTTATTTAAAGTTACACTGTGCTACAAAAAGTCATCCTAAAACTAACAGTTGTCATTTTAACATTCCTTAAATTAGTATAGTTATTTTTAAAAATACATTTATTGATTAAAATTCCTTTAGAAAAAAGCCAGTATATGTATCTTACTTTTAAAATTTAGATTATTGAACTTTTTCAAGAGCTTGTGGATGTAATAGTTTCATTGTTTGAAAACTATGCTAATTATAAAATGTTAACATGTTTATAAGTAAGATTTACCTCTTTGAAAGCTCAAGTATATATTTTTTTAATAATTTCATGAGTTTACATGAGCAAAAAAAGACTACACAATCAAGTACAACTTAATATTTTACATATTTGATAATTGATAACTATTTGATAATTTTAAGTTCAACTTATTGTAATTTGAAGGTATTATAATCTTAAATCAATCTTAATTTTATATTTGATTTCAAATATATATATATATATATATATATATATATATTTTAAATATTTAGCACTATGAATATTCAGATTTTTTAAAATCAAATCATGTTCTAATTATTAATGGAGTTATTATTTTTTATTTTTTACTATTTTTTACTATTTTTTTAAATATATCAAGAAACAAGTAATTATAAATATAAAAAAATTTTAAATTAATCTTATTTAAAATATTAATCATTAGTAAATTTGTAAAAATATTTAATCAATATAATTAATCCGAAATCATTAATAAGTCTTTAAGTTAATTTTTTTTAAACATCCATGTTAATATATCAACTTTTATATGATATATTAGATAATGCTTTAATCCTTCTATTTTACTTTTAAAATATTGCAAATAAAATAATGGTATATGTAAAATTATTTGCCAAATAATGTAGAAAAGATTTTATAAATTATATGCATTTTAAATTATTAAATATAAAATTATATATGCATAAAAAATATGTAAAAAGTTTATTTTTTTTAATTTTTATATTAAGAAGCAAACATACACATATAATTATAGTTATCTTAAATACAATACAAAAAAATTATGTTTATGAGATCTCAATTATTTATTAATTAAAGTATACACCATGTAATAGAAGCATCATGAGAGTCTTGTTTTAAAACATGTCACAAACATACATATTTATCTAAATAAGAAATATTAGATAGAAGATAAATGTAGGTAGATTTGATATTATCTTATGGCATAGCTTCTTAGAAGCTTTATAGACATGTATTTGACTTTATATATGTTTATAGTTGATTAATAGATTAGAAACTTGACTAACAAGTTGGCCATGTGTTATATGTATAGATAGATTGTAGTACAAGTTAATAATAAGGCACGTATATAAAAAACTTGCTTTGTAAGTAAAGACACATATCTTGCAAATTAGATTCATGTTGGAGTTCCTATTGAACATTGCCATACAACTCCCAATTAGATAGTATGTATGGAGGGAAGGATGAAGCCTTCTTTAGTTTTGTCAATGCCTTTCTAGTTCTAGTCTTATTTCAAGACTTTCTAGTTTTTTTATTTTCAGCAATAGATATGCTAGTTTAATATTATAATATCTTTGAGTGATTCTCTAATTTCTTTGAGTGACACAAGAATGTATTGTTCTTATTATTCTTTGAAATTTATGTCCTTGATAATTTAAAAGGAGTGCTAACTCATTGTTTTTGTTTTGCTTTTAGAAGTGAGAAACTTCTATTGTTGTATTTTGAAAGTTACGAATCATCCACCTTTAAACTAACATTTAATTTTTTAAAAATAAGTTTTTTTAAAAGAGAAATAATTATCTCTCTTTATAGGATATTCATTTGGTATTAGAAATTACAAATTATCTTGCTTTAATTTGAGTCATGAATTTGTTTGAATTTTTTATTAAAAAAATTATTGATGTTATTTTTGATAGAAGTGGGAATAGATTTGCAACTATTATAGATCTTTATAAACTTTTCAATATTTTTAGAGTAGAAATATTATGTATTTCTAATGTAAATCATATAAGTATTATTTCTATGCTTATGGAAGAAATCAACAATAAATTCAAAGATTATGTCAAGAAGTTGTGCAATTAAGAGAAGTAAATAATTAATCAAATACAAGAAGCATTACTACTATAAATATAAAAGAGATAAACATAAGTATGCTAGAGAAGTTTGATGAAACAAGACCAAAGAAGTTTTGAAGGTTTTTATGACAAGTAAAGGTCTATATAAGTTTGCATTCTATCTATTATTCTAATGGATTTACTCAAATCAAATACATAGGCACACTTCTATGTCAGAGTGTTTTTTCTTAATTTATACCTTTGATGGAAAAAGATTGACAATTATTTTATGATTTGAATTTTTTCTTGAAAGTCTTTATAGCCTTATTTGGAGAAAGTTATCAAATAAAGATAGAATAAATTAAACTTGTATTTTTACAACAAGGATCATATTTAGCTACCATATATGTTGCTGAATTCCAAAACCTTGCATATAACATTGATTGAAATGATAAAGCCTTTATCAATAAATTTTTAAATGAGTTAAAAGATAATATCAAAGATTTATTATTGACAATGGTTAGAGCAAATTTATTGACGCAATTTATTATTCAAGCCATTGCAAGCGATAATTGACTCTTTGAAAGATGCAAAAGAATAAAAATTTGATTAAAGAGGTAGAAGTCAAGTTATGGCAATACCTTATAAGTTTCAAAGGATTATTTGTCTTAGCTGGAATCTATGCAAATTAATACGATATGTTTTAAATCTCTTATTGAGTAAGAAAAGACTCAACATCGTTAAAAAGATATGTACCTATATTGTGGAGAATCCAAGCATACTACTCAATATTATCCAAAAAAATAGCATAATTACAAAATAATGAGCATGGTTGCCAAAGATGATAATGTATCAAAAAATAAGTTTCTTCAACTAGAATAGAAATTGTGCAACTCAAATCTTATATAATACTTAATAAAGATCTTATTGTTTCCTCATATCTCTCACCTTATTTTACAATAGAAGTTTGTTTTGGACCAAAAAATCAAAAAATCTTTGTCTTATTAAATTGAAGAGCCTCAATTTCTTTTATAGACAAAGATTTTATCAAAAAACAAGAAATACCTTTAATCAAGAAAATCAAACATGTGCATGTAGAAGTCATAGATAGTTGTTTATTTTCCTTTTAAGAAATTATCTATGGAATAATTTTTTTAGATATAATGATTCAAGATTGTAATAGCTTAGTAATATTTAATATCATTAGATCTTGTTTCAATTTATTTATTTTAGGATTATTGTGATTAGGAGAGTATGACGTTCAAATAGATTGGATTTCGGATAACTTGTATTTTACTTGTTGTTTTGTCTAAGATTTTACCAATCAAGTAAAAATCCATAAGTTTAATACAACTAAATTCTTATTTATAGATGTAAGATCTTTTATATATGTTATAAAAGAAGGTTCAACTTTTGTTATATATGCCACATCTATTTTTGACAAAACAAAACAGACTTTAAGTGGCATTTCAAGCCATTATAAAGATTATCTAGATATTTATAAAAAATATAAATATTCTTTTAAAATATTTTTTCAATGACTGTTCCATTGATCTTCAAGAACAAATTTAACTATCATTTAGACCAATCTAAAGCTTGTTGCAAAATGCATTAGCTACTTTTAAGGAGTACACTAATAAGAACTTGACTAAGAACTTCATATACTATTTTAAACTTCTAGTAGAAGCTCTTATCTTATTTGTAAAGAAAAAAGATAGATCTTTGAAGATAAATGTCTTCTACGAAGGTCTCAAGAAGATGACCATGAAAAATAAGTATCTCTTACCTTTGATTTTTTTATTTTATGATTAATCTAATCAAAAAAGATTTGTATAAAAATAGATCTACGAGGAATATATAATTTGGTACTGTTAGGGACATAGTCCTTAGAACCTTCTAGAGACAAGTTTCTAGAACTTTCTAGAAGCAAGTCTCTGGAACCTTCTAGAAGCTTTCTAGTTGGTAGAAGTTGCTTGAGAAGCTTCTTAAATAGGAGTATATATTAGAATCAAGGCTGAAGAGTTCTTCAGTCTCGACAACACATGTCTTGGAGCTCTAGCTCACCTCTCTGGTGTTGTTCTTGTATTCATCTGATTAATCTAGTTCTTGTCAGTTCTTCTTGAACTTCTTGTTAGATCTCGAGTCTGTATTTATGTGTCCATGACAGTTTGTTGAAACTTCACTCACCTCAGATATCACAGCTAGTTTCTTCCTCGTTAGAGTGCGGATTACCCCTCTGCTTGGAAGTGTACTAGCATTTTAGAGGTTGCTAATTACCCTCCTCTAAACCGATACTTCTTTTGTTACAATATTGGAGTCTTATTCTTCTTGGAAAGAGTGGATTATCTCTTTTCTTGAAGCTCTTAAGGCATTTTAGAGGTTGCGGAGTACCCTCCTCTAAACCAATATTGTCTTCTTGTACAGTCATTTTTGTCCTCAGAATGGCCGGAGGCCAAGATATTAATTTGACAGAAAGTTCAGAGTTCAAGTTAGATGCTATCAAGAATGCCCTCGCTACGTTATCGCAAAGAACTGCAGAGATTGAAGGAGTGATGGCAAGGCTTCATAATGATGGAGCATCTGGGATGGCACAATCTAGGTTGTACGAGCCTCAAACTTCTGCACTTGAAGAAGCAACTTTGCCTCAGGTTCGACAAGCACCGCTGGTTCTACAACATAAGGAGCCCCAAATTAGCCTTCCAGACAAGTTCAATGGTACGCGTTCCAAGTTTTGAGGATTTGTCAATCAAATTAGGTTGATAACAGTTTT